GTGTGTGTGTGTGTGAGCTGAGAAAACAAAAAGGACAGGGACTTTAGTAATGTTGTAACACTTGGACTGATGCACTTCTACTTTTTCTTTCACCAAGGAATTCAAGAAAGTTTTTCCACTAATATGGCAACTATTACCAGTCATAACAAGTGAGTTTGATAGTAGAAGGGGTGACATTTTACAAAGATTTAAATCCAGCTTCACATCAGGAGAGTTAAACCTTTCAGACAGTGAGTTGTGTGCAGCCCTCCAGCTATGTTTTCCACTGTGGTGTGTGGCTACTGTGTAGTTAAACCTCTGTCACTGGACTGATGCTGCGCTGACTGGGTCTGTCAGAGCAGGTCGGAGGAAAATAGGCCCTGAATGAGTTTGTGGCAGTGTACAGAGCTCTGATGGCACAGTTTGAGCTGCCAGAGGAAGAATGGCGTTTGCCATTTCTGAGCAGACCACAGACATATTTGTGGTTCATACAACTTATATGAAGCTCACAAAGAAAGTGTCTGAATTTTAAAGATTGCAGTTTGGTTTCCTAAGCACAAAGTGGTGCTTTCTTTTCACAATGTTGGTTCATGTTCATGTTAATAGATTGGAGGATGTAGTAGATAAGTTTAATAGGTTCTTTGTGAATGTTGGTCCTGGTTTAGCAAGAAGCATTTGTACAGATGATACATCCGTCACTATAAATAATAATACAATCGAAAGGAACATGAGTTCTACGTTTTTAGAAGCCCATAGTTGAAAAGGAAAATTATAGAGATGTGAATAAATGTGGTAACAAAACATCTAGTGATAGTGATGGTATCACTATGACAACTGTTAAATGGGTAATTGAGGGGATATGCAAACCATTAACCCATATTTTTAACATGTCGTTTCGACTTGGGCAGTTCCCCAATAATATGAAAATAGCAAAGGTTATTCCATTGTATAAATCTGGTGATAAGCACAATTTCACAAATTATAGACCGGTTTCTCTGTTGTCACAATTTTCAAAAATTCTGGAAAAACTCTTTAATAACAGATTAGATACATTTATTGACAAACATAAAATCCTCTCTGATTGCCAATACGGTTTTAGGTCGAACCGATCGACATCTTTGGCCATTACCGACCTGATGGAGGACATTACAAGTGCTATGGATGAGAAAAAAATATATGATGGGAATATTTATTGACCTAAAAAAAGCATTTGACACAATCAATCATGAATTAGTAATGGACAAGTTAGAAAAATATGGGATCAGAAGAATGGTTCTGAAATTGATTAAAAGTTATTTGACACAGAGGCGTCAATTTGTGAAGTTGGGTGAATACCAATCGAGTGAGCTGGACATTGTATGTGGAGTGCCTCAAGGTTCAGTTTTGGGACCTAAATTATTCATACAACTTTCTGGACGGGTTTCACAGGAACTTGAGAAGATAAAGAAATGGTGTGACAGTAATATAGTATCTCTGAATTTGGATAAAACTAAATTTATGGTATTTGGGAATTGTAGACTAGATAATGAACTTCAATTGAAAATTGGGGGAGCTAATATAGAACGAGTATATGAAATTAAATTTCTAGGTGTCATAGTTGATGACAAATTCTCCTGGAAATTTCATATCAGATATGTTCAGCACAAAATAGCAAAAAATATATCGATATTGGCAATGGTTAGATATATTTTAGACGGGAAAGCACCGTATTTTGTATTCTTCATTGATTTTACCATACTTAGAGTATGGCGTTGAAAACTGGGGAAATACATACAAAAGCTCACTTCAACCATTGTATCTATTACAAAAAAGAGCGATAAGAATTGTGCATAAGATGGGGTATAGGGATCACACCACTGGAGCTTGCATACAGTCTAAATTGTTAAAATTTTTTAATTTGGGGGGTTATAAGACTGCTGTGTTTATGTATAAAGCCAGGAACAATTTATTACCTGGTGGAATTCAAAAACTATTTAATGAAAGGGAAGGGGGATACAATTTAAGGGGTCAGTTAAATTTAAAAATTCATGCTATATGTACAACCAAAAAAAGATTTTGTATTTCCATAAGTGGGGTAAAACTATGGAATAATTTAAGTGTAGACATAAAAAATAGTAATAGAATTGACGAGTTTAAACATAAATATAAAGGTATGTGTCAATCAAGATATATGCAAGAACAGGCTCAATGATTAATTAGATGGAACATTGTGGGTGTGGTGTATGAATGTTAATACTCTGTAATAATTCTTTAGTATATTACTTGTGTGGTGTAGAAGACAATTATTTAAGAATGTAATTATGTAAGAATGTTAACACTGTTAAAATCTTTTTTTAGTTGAAAGAATAAATCAAATCAAATAAAAAAAAATCACTAAAACAGGCTGAGAGTAGAGGAAACAAAAGCAGAACGGGGTAGGACTGGATAAGTCTGACTTCTTCCTACTTTATTCAAGCATGTACTAGGTATAAGCAAATTGATATTGGATTAGCATTTGTTGGATATGTGTGTTGATATATCAACTGTCTTTACATGCTTGAAAGAATAAATAAATCAAATCAAATCATGTTGGTAGCCAGTTGTAGCTAACAGTGAAAAAGGCGTGATTATCCATGTACAGGTCGCATAAGGCACTGGGATACTATTATGGCATACTGTGTGTAATACCAAAGACCATACGGGGTCACTTCAGACGGGTACCCGAAGGGGCCAAACGCTATTTATTGTTCATAGAGAACGTTTCTGGATGTTTTACATCCCGGTTTAGGTTTCGATTTTGGCGGTGGGGAAAGAAAAAAAAAACAGTCAAGCAATGACCCTTTCATTGTGCATAAGGTTGCAGCGTTGCGCTAATGTAACGCGAAACGATTAACATTACCGATGTTTACCTCGTTAAAACAAAGCGCACATGCTCACCTGTTGCATTGAAGGCTATCCATTTGGGAGAGCAACTTTCACGTAAATAATTGTAGATTGTCCGGCCTAGGGTGGCTCCAATACCAATAACCACTGATGTTGTGATCGGATCAATCGAATTTACCAGCACACTGGCTGCCGAAAAAACATGTATAAACAAACATATGCGTGCTAATTTCATCGTTGAAATCACTTAATTCAGGACATCAGTCGTTTTTATGTGGCAAAGCAACCTCTGAATCCAGCAGGCTAACTAGCTAGCTTACAACGCGGAACTTAACACTCATACGTCATGATCACGTGGCAAACACAACGAGCTCTGTTCAAAATAACACACGTTTCACAAGTTCTAAAATGATGAAAACCTAATCATTTGAAAGAACTACACTTAGCGGCATGTATGTTTATATCATATAGGCACTTATATAGCTAACTTACAATGTAGCAAACGCACCCGTTTACTAAAATTAAACCAACCGCTGATAACTAGTGTTAGGTTATTTCTTAGTTAGATAGATATTCAGAGATTTGTTGTCTAGAAATGTTTAGTGGAGACAGGTTGTCTAGCTCAGGCTGTTAACTGTTCAGTTTAATTTCATGTGCTTGCAGACTGCATTTAGGCCAAGGTTGCAGGCAAAGAGTTGTTAGTATTAACTGTAATGCTAATCTTAATATTTGTCTTAATGTGTAATGTCATGTCAAATTGTTCTAGATACACACCACAAAAACAACAGCCACGCACCTTGACTTTTCCTCATGTTTTGACTATTGTTATGGTCAGCTGCAAGCTGGCATATCAGGTGACGTCACGGTTTGACGCCCTGCGTAGTATGGGCTAGCCCAAAATGATTAAAATTATATAGGTTTCATGGTCCAGGGTCTTTCATCTTCCAAGCTGACTGCGCGCTGGTTGGTGGTGGGAGAGATCTGGACGTGTAATGTTAATTTTACCTGTGATCCTCTGAATAAACCAGCACGGTTATTTTTTATAAAATCTAAAGCGGTCTGCTTCGTCTTATTGTGAGTTCCTGGTTTAAAAAGAGCCGGAAGAGGCTTCGTAGAGAAACAGACGCTTATACTAGCTAGTTTAAGATGGCAAAAGTGTGAAGAGATTATAAAAGGTGGCTCCGGAAATCCACACATTACCTGTTCTGTTGAAAGAAATCCATTCGGGTCGACAGCACTCGTGAAAATAGTTGAAAATGTTCGGGTAGCTAGCTAAGAATGCTGTCAGAGTGGCTGCCATCCCAACCGCTATGGTGGTGCTGATGGGTTCGAGAGCCTCCGTTGTGCCCGAGCAGACCAGCATCAACAGCAGTAGCATGTGTCGCTTCTTAGGTGTCATTCTAAACCAATGTACCAACTTTATCAAACTCAGCTAAAATAGATTTATATTTAAAAGAGTCCGCGCCTTAGCAAGTGCACAGCTGTGAGTGGAGACCATGGAACTGTGGTGGAGAGCAGCTGTTATGACGTCAGGGTCCAGAGGTTCTTCTTCGTTTATTCTAAATCTGACTTTTTAATATAAACGTATTCGCAAATATTAAGGCATAGAAAAGTGCATCGGTTAACAAGCGAGCAGAATGAGAGAACTTCTGGTAACCAAATTTAGTCATGTCTAAATCAATAAATAGGTCAGGGTGAACATTTTCACTTCCTTCTAAGCTCTGAATAGAGACTTTACATGTTTTTTCTTTTTGTTGACAGACACTACTGCATATCCTCCAAAACTGAAATTAGTGAAACCGTTTATTATTACAGATAATGCTTTAAAAGTTCTTTTAGGGAAGATTCTAGTTAAGACCTCTTGTGACAACTACCCTTTGACACTGCACTGACAAGCTGATTAAACTGTATTCATCTAACCTCTGTATATTGTTCTGAACTACTTGGATGTCATACAACTGGACAAACCCTCTCACTCCAAAGTCTTTGTTTATGTAATGCATATAGTATATTATGTAGACTGGGACTTAACTGTGCGAGTATGAGAATGAGTAGGTGTTGTACCTGCATTTCTCTCTTGTGGGTCTGTTATCACAAATTGTGAGTACATTTCCTTGTCTGACCAGATATTTAACTGGTACATTTCACACACCTTAGTAAGGAAGAAATGACTCTTTCATTTTTATGAATAATCTACAAAACCAGTAACTATTACTCACGATATGTGGAGTAAATTTTGTGATGCCTGTGGTCCAAACTTACCTTTGTTTTTACCCCCACATATAATGTGGCCACTGAGCAGGCATAGTCACTGAAGTAAAATACAAGCCTGTGGGCACTGAAGTTACATTTACCTAGTCAGGTATTCTCAGACAACTCTTTCCTCATCAAGTGAAATTCATTCATGGCTGGGCTGGCCTGGTAGGAGGCCCTGTGGCAATGATAACCCGGTGGGCCCCATTCACCCCCAGGTTCCTCCTCCAATCAGCATTTCCATGCTAGAATTTAAATGGTCTGGTGTTTTCTGTGTGACAAAGGGATTAAAGACAATTTAATTTAAAAATAGGCATCATTTACCCAACACAACACTCTTATATATAAGATGGCACCGCTGTAGAAGCTGCCTGTTGCAGCAGGTCTGCGTTGTCTTCTTACTGTTTCAAAGCGTTTGTCATATACACAGTAAGGAAATGCGTTTCCCTGCACAATGAAATTCTTACCTTGCTGTCCACACTGAATGCCAAACACAAGTGAAATATAAAGTAGATAAATAGTAGCACAAAATCTAAAGGCACTTTAAACAGCGAGTGAAAAGACATTTTGTTATTTGGTGGCAGTTACTGTCCTTACACTCCCCTAGCTCTGCCTTTTTCTACCCAGCATGGATATCGAGTACCTAAAAGGACTTCTCCTAGATATACCAAAAGCCACACTGCATATCAGGATTAAAACCAAAACATTATGTCCAAGGAACTCTCTGTAGACGTCTGCAATAAAACTATGGTAAGGCATAGTTTAGGACAAAGGTATAAAACCATTTCTAAAAGTCTGAGTGTGCAGGAGCATAATAGGCTCAATAAATGTATAAGACTACAATACTCATGCTGGCAAGTTACTTTTTTTTCCACAACTTTATTGAAATGTAACACCATTAACAGTACCACCCTGTACTGTACTGCAACAATAAAAGTATAACAATGAACCAGTGTTAATATAAGGAAATAACTCCAGATACAGATCACGTTTAATACAGATGTTTCCTACAAAAATGAAGGAAAAAAAAAAAAACGATGAAACAGTGTTCTATCTGGTCCAAGACAAAGCTAACAGAATTCTCAATAACGTGTAAAACAATTACTCAACATCCAACCGGCTGTGAAATCAAATGTCTACATGCATCTTTCAAATGTAGAACGAGGTTTTATTCCAACACGCTGTGCTGCCTGAGTATTCATTTCTCCTGCAAAAAGATGAAACATGTCTGAGATGAACACGTTTTTACTTGACTGCAATTACTCCCTGAAGACAAACCAGTCCAATTACATACCTGGTGACTGGAACAAACTGGAGTTTTCTTTTCACATGCTGCACATGAACACTTCTGAGTTGAGCTTCCCCCTACAAACATCATGGAACACTCATTTCACATTCTCTAGGGTTGACAACTTTTAAAATACAAAATACTTGCCAGTTTTTCTTGGACTGATGGAGCTAATGAGTTTAGCTAGCATGTAACCGTACTGTATATCTGGATTCACCTTACAAGGATACGATTAGTGAAGAGGTACAAACTGTACTCCAAACTGCCATGTTTGTACATAACTGTACCTTCTGGTATTGTTCAGTTAGATATCTCCTGTTGAACATCGTGCTTCTCTCCTCTGTGGTTAGAGCTATGCAAGGTCTGATAATAACCCCAGGGTCAATGGCACTGGACAGAGACCTGGGCAAGGCAGAGCAGGACACATGTGAAACTACTTCTCTCTAATTACATAAATATAAAAATTCATCACAAAGCCCAACTTCAAGTCAGTGAGCAAAATCTGTAAATCCCAAGGTTTTCACCAACTATGAGGAGTGTTACAATCATGCAAAGCATTAATGAAAACCACCCATTATTGCTCCACTCTTTATTACACAGATGCACTTAAAAGACACGGCAAAAGTTTTTATCTGAAAAAGAAAAAAGTCATACAAAATATTTACAAAACCTGGAAATGCACAGCATGTTCAGTAACTTTTTTTATAAACAAAAATAAATAGCTTCTTTCACATACATAATTCAAGAAAACTAACATGACAAAGAAATAAACACAGTAAATAAGAAGTATAGCAAACCAGAGAGAAAGAACTACGTAGCTTCTGGGTAATCTGGAACATTTGAGTTGTAGAGGTAAAAAGCCCAAGAATGCTGCTATAGCTGCTTTCATCAGGATGTGAGCTTTGAATCCTCATCTATGGATATGAGCCACACACAATGAACAGCAGGTACTGTGTCTGAAAAATATGTGTCACTGGGCAAATGTAGTAGAGCATCTCCACAGTATCTCAGAAGATACAGGGTTGTTCCAGAACTAACTGGAGTTCTAAAAATGCACTGACAAGAGAAGATACAGGGTTGTTCCAGAACTGGAGTTCTAAAAATGCACTGACAAATGAGGATAATCGGTTTTAAAAGTGTATCCTGGCCTTTTCTCTTTATGTGCAAAAGCTATAAAAGAAATCCTGAAGCCATGGGGTCAAGGATTGAAGTAAAGAAACATGGAGCTGACAATACGAAGAGACTAATTTAAATCTAGACTTAAGTGGAGATGTACTACTTGGAGTGGAAAGACTCGACACAAGCAGCCACGGCTGAACAGTGCAGAGTGCAGTAGAGAGTGGACCTGAATGATTTGGGCAGTTCAAGTCTTGGCAAACTGTATTCTACTGTTCCAGAGTCTGGATGGCATTTCAGTAATGTGCAAGGCTTCAGATTTTATTCCACATACATATGATAATAGTGCGGAGTGATACAAGTACAGGTTCTTTAGATTTGTGCAATTTGCAAAATTTTTCTTAAGTGTTTGCTTTTACAGTCCTGATCCAAGTTTTTATAATAAAGCATATGACAGGTCTTTATTTGAATTATGAATGAAAAATAATAGCACTGATGAATTACAGAAAATGTCATAATCATATCGAGCCATCCTATTCAAGACTTTCCCAAAAAGTGTTTAAGGCTGCACTTACTGTTATTACTGATTATATTTTACTCTTTGTAGAAGTGAACAACCAAGGTGACCTCTTTAAATGCTTTGTTTATCTGACCAACAGTTCAAAACAAATAGATGTTTTCAATCTTATACAACAAAGAGAAACATAAAGGTCTCATATTGAGAAGCGGGAACCAGCAGAAGTTTGACTTTTTTTTAATTGCCAAATGCTTTAAACAGCAGTTATCAAACTCACTGCCAACTAATCAGCCATTTCAGTAGTGCTTTACATGCCCAAGGCTCTCTTCTATCCCTCTCTAACGTCTCCACTGGTACCAGCTGTGGAAAACGTGTCTGTGATGTGCTGGACAACTGAACGTGAATGGATCTGATCATACAATACGTGTTTTGTCTTCTGGCTTTTATTGAGATGCCCCTGATGAGTTCAGTGATAGAAACATATTACAGTAACATCACCAATGTCTTTTTAACTTTTGGGCATAAAGAATATCTTAATATAAACTTTAGTTTTCCAGTATAATGTAACAAAGGTATGTTTTTTCTGATTAGCATTGTGTTTTCACATTTATACATTAAAAAAAAGTATTTAGACTTTTAACCTTAAATCTTTATTTTCTTATATTGAGAGATTTTTTTTCTGTCACTTCTTTTTAAAATGTCAAAAATATTTAGGACGATGTCATTTTCTGCACAAGCATTCTGTATTTAAATGGTGGCGCTGCTCATGCAGTCGGCCTCTTGTACAAAGTGTCAGTATATTGCATTTTAAAGGTTAAATGACATGGATAAACCTCAGGGCACAAACATTATGATGGTGCCACTGTGTTAGATTGCTTTATAAATGTACAAACCTTAAAAAAATGCCTGTTTTGTTTTAACAAATATTCCCTTAGAGCATTTCAAGGAATGAGCTTGATCATAACCTAGGTTATATTTATTAGCAGGAATCAACTGGTATAAATTTTGGGTTATGATGCTTATAGGGTATGGTGACCAAAGGAAATACTTACAATGTGGAAAAGCCCTGCGTCTTGTCTGGATTTCTCCTGTTGCCTGACTCACAATCTGCCTCATCTACAAATTCAGCCTCTGTTGTTTTTAGATGTACTTTTTCATCTGTCTTCAAGCTCTCGCCTTCACTTAGTAATTCGATTCTCTCCTTTCCTTCACTCCTGTCCCTGCTTCGAACCTGGACATGGTTGGTCCTGTTAGATTCCAACTCAACAAACACACTCTTGTCCTTAGACATATGCACCATACTCGCTGTCTCTCCTTCTATGGAGCACGGTGAACTGTGGCCAGGCAGCAGGCTCCGTGTAAAAGACACCCTTGGATGCTGCCTGGTAGTAGACAAATTCAAAACAGGAGACCTGAATGTGGCATTTACAGCTGTAGAGCAGAGGAAAGCTGCTCTGCTGGATGACCAAACAGTGGCTGAAGTCTGTGATCTGAGGTTGATGCTTCCACTTTGATGCTGTGGACACGGGGAAACAGTCTCGCTTATTTTAGATGAGGTGATCTGGAATGGAGTTCGACTGAAAGTCCTTGTGTCAGTAGTGGGGAGTCCCAGGCTTCGGCGCCACTTGATTGACTCCGAGTGAGAATGAGCTGCGTTAGGACTCAAAGCTGGCTGAACCTTCTCCATCTGTGAGGTACCATCCTGAACATCACCTCTCCCAGTACTGGGCCTTCTCTGCTCGGTTCTAGCAGCACCCGCCCCATCGGCTGGCTCCAACTGACTGGGGCTGCAGGACTGGACCGAGGGCAGACGTGATTGTGCACCAACAGCAGAGATGTCTGCAGGCAAACTCTGTGACGCTGGAGGCGGCTGTCTATCTTGAGGCGGACTACTCAGGGGAGACTGTTCAACAAGAAAGGAGGGGATAGATTTTCTAGGAATTTCAGCCAGCTGATTTTCCTGTTTATCGTCTTCATCTTGAAACGAGGTACACACCACAACAGTACCATTCCTTGATGCTTCTTCATCTTTACCTTTCTCGGCGGTGGAAACTTTGGCCTTCTCAGCCAGAAACTTTCTGATCTCCTGCTCAATACTATCATCACTGTCTACTGAACTGCTATCTTCCTTTGTACTGTAGAGGGGCAGGGTTTCTCGACCTTCAGTCTCTCTCACGTCTGTTTCGTCTCCTCGCACACCATGCATTTTACTTCCATCAGTCTGTTTATGTTGGGAAATGTTCTTTTTATTCAACCCAGACTTGTCTTTCATGTCATTCTTACTCTTGTTTACTTTTTTCAAAGCACTGTGTCTGGAAATAGGATCAGGTTTTAACTTTTTGGTCTGTAAATCATTTTGTTCTTCATCCTTGAGACATTTCCTTGATTTTCGCTTTAAGTCTTTTGTCTTTTTCTTTGACTTCTTTTTTGTCTTGAGCAGGTCTTTGATAGCAGTGTCTAGGTCCTCGTCACTGTCTAGTGAGCTGCTTTTGTCTCCACTTTGTTCTGTCCTGTGTAGTCTAGTTATTGGATGTGTTGGACTTCTCTGGGAATATACCAAAGAGCTGGAATCTTTTCTATGCTCAGGTACAGACACCGAGGCTGTTTCTTTAACACTGTTAACCTTAACCGCCCCCGATGCGTTTTCCTCTTTGTGCTTTCTTCTCTGTGTCAGTGACAATCTGTGAGGTTTCTTTTGGGGCACAACTTGTTTTGCTTTCACTTTCTCCGGTTCATTTATACTTTGAGGCTCTTGAATCACAACACAGCTGGGTAGCTGCTTGTGCATTTGGGCCTTCTGCTCAAGAAATTTCCTGATTTCTTGCTCAATCCCATCTTCACTATCAATGGAACTGTCATCACTTTTCCTGCCCGGGCAGTTAACAGGAAGTGACGGCTGCAAGGAAGATTCGGTGGGGACACAACTGCTGAGGTCAACACTGTGATGGAAGGCCCCAGGCATAACAGTTTTCGAAATGTCTAATATGGCCTCAGCACACATAAGCTCTGCAGTTGTGTTAACCTTTGGTGGGGCAGGGGTAGGCTGCTCCTTAAAACTGTCTACTTTAAATGACAGTAGTCCATTTCCTTTATCTTTCTGGCTGTCTGAAAGTGTATCTATGGGTATGAAAACAGATGAAGGAAGAACAGATCTCACCTCTTTCTCTGTTTTCATCTTTTTCTTTTTCAGTTTGTGTTGCTTCACGTTACCCGTGCTAGTACTTCCAGTGTGTATTACTGACTTACTAAAGCGGTTTTGTTTTTGTAAGAATGGCTTCAGGGCACTCTGCTCCTTGAGTTGCTCAAGCTGGTAGCAGCGAATAGCTTCTTCAATCCCATCATCACTACTGGAATCCGACTCCTCTTTGACTGCATGTGGACTGAAAACTTCCCTTCTGCTCTGCTGCTCCTTCTTCTCCAGTTGGTATTTTTGGATGGCCTCCTCGATGCCGTCATCACTACTGGAATCATTTGAATCTTCTTCCATCTTAACTTGGACGGGGCACTTTACTTTGTTGAAAAGGCTGATTGCAGCAGATGTGCTCTTTGTGTGGATTTTGGGCAAACTTTTGTTTGTTGTACTTTTATTTGAATCCAAATTCTTAACCATATTGTTGTTAAGGGAGGCCTTGTTTTTGATATACTTTTTTACAGGTATAACAGTTGGTGCTGTGAGGGTCTCGGCTTTCACACTCTTTAGAAACCGTTGACTTGAAATCAGAAATGTACTGCTGTCAGAGCTCTGTTTGGAAACCTCAGGAATAGATGGGTTTTTTCTGGGAATTTTGGCTGGCTGAAGAGGAGTGGAGCCTGGCTCTGCCTTGCGTTTAGGATCGTCTTTTTCCTTCAGGTATTCCAGTATTGCCTCCTCAATTCCTCTGTCCACAGAATCATCACTGTCGGAGTCACTGCTCTCATGGTTGACCATAGAGGAAACATCTGCCTGCTGATTTTCAGTGGGATCTTTAGTTTTAGACTTGACTCCCATGTAAGAGCCCACTGCAACCTTGCAGACTTGGGAATGACCATCCTGTCCTGATAGCACATTTCTCTCGATCTCATCGCCCATCTCAAGTGAGGACTGGGTGCTCCTTAGGCTCTCTATGATCATCTGGACCTTATCTGAGATAGGTGTGCCTCTGGTGGACAAGTCGGTGTCAGAGTCATTGAAGCACTGAAGGCTATAGCCTCCAGCTGGGCTACATGTTCTCCATTCTGTTTGGGTTGCTGCCACAGGAGGTACGTTCATCAAGTACATTCTACTGAAGTAGTATGGAGGTCCTCGACCACTGGAGCGCAGCCGTCGACAATCACATTGTTCAATCTGAGGAGAAAACAGAAGCAGTGGCAGGAAAATCAGCCTATACAGAAAAATTAAAACCCATGTTTAGACCTTTTGTGTGATTCATCTGTCAGATTATTCTTATGCATTATTCATTCCGTGTCCACATGTCAGATCCTTCCTGATTTGTACAAGCTGAAGTGTTAGATCTATATTTATATCTATAGATTGTCTATCATAGTGGTCAACAGTGACAGGGACGCACACTCAGAACTTACTATATCAAGGCAAACAGCTACTATAAACATCTGTAGGTATCTGGTTGAATAGGCGTGTTCATCGCCATCTAGTGGAGCAGTTCAGTGTGACCACTCTGCAGCACTTGTTGCAAGACGCATGGATTTACATGGTATAAAAGAAACTGTGCTGCATGGTTCAGGGGTGACAGAGCTAGTCATTATTTCTAGGTGATTCATGGAGGTTTTGGAGAATTGAGGTGAACAGTGTGACCAGTGCCTGCAGCATCTTCACAGTAAAAGCCTCCTCTGGTCAGTCTCGCAGCCCTGTTTTGGTTCTGTTTACCAAAAACCACACATAATTGCTAAGTCAGTACCTGTATGTCAAGTGCATAAAAGTGACTTCTCAGTTACAACAAAGCTGAACTGGATCACAACAAAACTGGAAATGTAACAAAACTGAAAGGTGAATGCACTGTCACACTGAGGGGACGAATGGACGACATTACAGCTCAAACAACAAACTAATTATGACAAATATACTCAGACCACAAAGCCAAAGCCAAACCTATGAATCACACAAAAGATAAAATAGAATAAACATTCAAAAATAAAATAACAGGGCTACACATGGCCAGATTAACCTCCTAGTGGAAAATAAAATGTGGGATTATGTTCCATAGTTATTTTAATGTGATACCAATGTACTTGCTTTTACATTAACAAACCTGCAGTTAATTAAATCATTACAAAAGAACTGTCAGGCAGTGAACCTGGCATCTTTAGGGTCCCTGAGGATCTGGCACTAGGACAGCATGTCCGGTTTGTCCTGATAGTAATCCAGCCTTGGGGCTGTCCTCAGTGAATGTTAAATGCATTTTATTCCAGCCAAAATAACAGCTGTATTTGGAAAAATATTCCACCCAACCCTGACATGTGATCCCTTATCATCATATTGGGCTAGCTTGCTGTTTATCTGTAATTTTACTTAGGTAGGGATTTTTTTGTTCTTATTTTACTTTTTATTTTGTGATATTTGTTCTGATCCGAGTAGTTTTTCTGCCACAGTAAGTAAATGTACTTCCTTGCTTGCCCCCAGGGGGTTAATACACCTTTGTTGTGGGCTGATTCTAGGTGGAGTTCAAGTTTTCCCTTTAGAAAACAAAGGTTAAGCATCAGTTAAACATTGTCAAACTGTTAAACGGTGCAACTGCAAACGTTTCACTAGATGAATACTACCATGCTTTTTTACAATGAGTGTGAAACATAGTAACCCTGCAGCCACCAGTATGGTGGTTGTAGCTAGAGAGTCGCTTTTTGATAACCTACCTACCCTAAGTGTAAACCCTCACCCCCAACCCGAACTCGGTGCAACCTGCTGGGGGAATGGGCAGCCCGGCTACAGCCTGACACCAAGAAACGATGGCCCCAACTCTTTAACCACTGAAAGGTTTTTACCTGCTCAATCTGGAGGATAAGTCTGGACGAAACCAGGATGGGTCATCAAAAGCGAGACGCTAAAACGCCGCCAAGCTCACAAACGGAGCTAAAACGTAGCGTGACGTCGTATACTACCAACTTTGACATATGATGTGTACAGAGAAAGTTTTGTCCAAAGTGTAACGTTAGCGGCTAGCATTCACCGTACTGCATAAAGAAAACGTATTGGTTGCATTAATTCTCCCATACGGACGTTTTCCTAGTTGTGACTGAGCAACCCCGGCTGTCCCCGTAACTCGCTAGCGGCATGGACTACACCGATGCCCGGCGTGCAGCGTCAGGAGACTCCGCAGAGCAACCATGTTTCTTGATACCGGCCATGGTTGTCAAAATACACGGTATTCGCTCGGTAACGCCGCCGAACATAAGTATAATGTCAACTAACGCTTTTTATATGAAGTATTAAGGTGCTTTTTTGTCGGACGAGACGGTGTGACACACTGGAGGGATAAACCGTGGCGCGTCGGCGAATTCAAAGACACGGGCGGGCCTCCCGGCATTTTCTCCGGCAGAGAAAGCCTTTGTATCGAGCCACAGCTTACACTCTTAGCCTCGGCTGTTTTCACACATAGAGCCCCAAAACAGCCACTGCACACGTTTAACTCACCTGAATACGTCAGAGTTACAGCAAGAATGCGTTCATCGTTGCGTTGATATAAGATGTTGGTGAGCTCCGTCGTTGCGACAGATCAGCGTCCGTCAGCAGCTCGCTCCCGCAGTCGAGTCCCCTCCGCTCCGACTACCGGGTGGACAAGCTTCCTTAAACCCAGAGTCCGGTGAACCATGCAGCCTTTCCAATATGGCATCGGCGTTTTCCCGGAAAATATCTACGCTTGCATTTTATATGGCTACATTTTACAGTGCTACAACACAAAACATAGCCAGATGTCTAATTTAGATCAGTTAATGCTACATTTATTAACAAAAATAGGCTTTTCAGGAGCAATTTAACAACAACCCTTCAAAATAATGTTATAGTAGGCCTAACTCATTGGACTGCCAACGTTTAGTCTGGTAGTTGGGAGGACGTTTGATCAATTAGACAACTCCCAGTAAGACTGGAAGTATGCTTAATACTGATAACAACTGTAATAGACTTTTATGTTGGAATAAAATCATACAGTGTGCGAGTACAGCACTTAATATCTGCTTAATATATAAAAAAGCAACTTTACCTTAATATCTGTATTGCATGTATAAAACAGGTTGAGTGTGCCTGTGAACAGTGATGGTATATGTACTCTCATATTTACTCAGTTGAAGGTATAAATATCCTGCCACAGTGTAAAATACATCTGTTAAAAGTAAAAGTCTTGCATTCAAATGTTACTTAAGTACACAAGTTATTACCATCAAAGTACTTAAAGCAGGTGCTCATTATGCAGAACAGAACATTCCACATGTAGGTCTATTTTCATATTACTGGATTATAATTATTGATGCATTATTTTATACATCACATTTAATGTTGCAGCTGGTAAAGGTGGAGAGTTTATGTTAACTGCCTTACATACTTGGAGTTGTTGCTGTGTAGCTTGTGAATTTCATTCCAGGATCCATAGTCTTATGATTACACTGTGTTTTGTTTTATTAATCACATTTTGAAACTAAAGTAATCAGATAAAAGTACTGGAGTAAAAATTACAGTATCTACCT